GTGGGGAGGGGGGGCTGTTACCAGGTGAGTGAGTGCAGACGCTGTGTCCTGTTCAGGCCATTACAACATCGTGTCCGCAGTCAGAGGCTCGAACCCCAAACGGACAAACACAGGCATCAGCACAGTCAGACAGGAACGCGGCCCGCCGGCCCCAGGAACGCGGCCCGGCCGGCCCCAGGAACGCGGCCCGGCCGGCCCCAGGAACGCGGCCCGGCCGGCCCCAGGAACGCGGCCCGGCCGGCCCCAGGAACGCGGCCCGGCCGGCCCCAGGAACGCGGCCCGGCCGGCCCCAGGAACGCGGCCCGGCCGGCCCCAGGAACGCGGCCCGGCCGGCCCCAGGAAACAAAAACAGAAAAAAACACCACCAGAAAAACTCCGCTTCACACCAACACCAGGAAAGCCTCCAGCCAGGACCTCCACCCCCACCGCGGCCAGAACCCCTCCCCCACACACCCCTGCTAGTGCCTTTCCCCACATGTACCTGGGGGTCTGACGGGCTGCCCTGCCCAGCGCTGAGCGGGCCGGACGGGGGTGAGGGGGGCTGTGGTGTAATACGCTGACCGGCTCGGAGCCTGCGGGGGAACCAATGCGTTAGTGACTGTCACCATGGACAGCAAGAGGCACATATGGCTTCAGAAGCTATTAAAATAATAATTAATAATCCTGACATTCTGACGGCATCAAGTACATCAGGAGGAAGTTTCATAGGATTTTGTGTAAAATGTTGTGTTTTGTGTTTGGTGGGCAAAGAGAGAGAGACGAGAGAGGAGAGGAAGACCGAGAGATTCCCTGAAGCCTGGAGTTCGCTCTGCTCCCTGATATTGCTGCCCGTACCTGTGGCACTGCTGGTAAGAAGTAGCCGGAGTGTGTCAGATGCTGGTAGGAGCCGACCAGGGGGCTGGGCATCGCCCGCAGGTTTGCCAGCCGCTGCATGTACTGGGTGGTGAGGTGGGCTTTGCGTTCCTCCTTGCGCTGGGCCAGAGCTACATACAGAGGTTTGGTGCAGACGATGCGGCCGTTCATCTCCGTCACGGCCTTCGTCGCTTCCTCCGGAGACGAGAAGCACACAAACCCAAAGCCTTTGCTGTGACCCCCGTCTGTCATCACCTGCCCAGAGCGCGAGAAACAAGGAACGTCATCAGGACCAGTGGGAAGACTTTGTAGCTTTGAGGCAGTTGTGTGCGGTGCTGACACTACCACAACTACAACAACTTGCACTTACCCAGAGCCCAGAGCAATCTCTCGAGAGTGCTCAACAACAAATTACATTTACAGGGTGCCTTTCAAATTGGGAGGATGTCCCAAGGCACTGGACAGTCAGGGATTTGGAGCTGGGGATTGGGATCAGGAGGGCTGGAGGGCAGGGAGTGTAGGGGTAGGAAGGTGGCCCAGTCAATAATAATCCTTGCATTTGATATAGAGAAGGGTCTTGAGAGAGCCCTTGAAAGAAGCAAGGGAGAGGTCGAGGCGAAGGGAATGTGGGATGGAGTTCCAAAGGGTGGGGCGGAGAGGTTGAAGCCTGACTGCCGATGTTGGGATGGACTGGGCAGGGGATATGGAGCAGGCTAGAGCGTGATGAGCAGAGGAGCGGACAGGTTGATATGGGGTCAGCAGGTCACAGAGGTAGGAAAGAGCAAGACCATGGTGGGGGTTTGGAGGCGAGAACGAGAATTTTGAACTCTATCCTCTAGTAGATGGGGAGCCAGTGGAGCCGGGCGAGAGCGGATTGGGGGAGAGCCTGACGCTGTGATGAGGTGACCGTAAGCACGGTCGAAGAGTAGGATCATATAGCATGGTCCGGATGGTTTGCATCCCAAGGTTTTAAAAGAGGAGCTTATGAGATAGTGGAGGCCTTATGGCTGATCTTCCAAAATTCCTTGGATTCTGGAACAGTCCCCATGGATTGGAAGATCGCAAATGTCACACCACTATTTAAAAAAGGTGAAAAGGAACAGATGGGGAACTATAGGCAGTTAGTCTCACATCAGTGATAGGAAACATTTTAGAACCATTGATTAAGGATGTGGTAATGCGGTATTTAGGGCACAATATAATTAGGCCGAGTCAACATGGCTTTACAAAAGGGAAGTCATGTTTGACAAATCTCATAGAGTTTTTTGAGGATATTTCCAGTAAACTCGATCAGTGGATGTGGTCTATTTGGACTTCCAGAAGGCATTCGATAAGGTGCCGCATAAACGGTTAGTCCAAAAGATAAGGGCCCCTGGAATTAGGGGGAAGCATATTAACGTGGATTAGGTAGGAAACAAAGAGTAGGGATAAACGGGTCCTTTTCTGATTGGCGGGATGTGACTAGTGGAGTGCCACAAGGATCAACAACAACAACAACAAGATTCCATTTATAAAGCGCCTTTCACGTCGGGAGGACGTCCCAAGGCGCTGCACAGTTAGGTCAGGACCCGAGCAGGGGGGAAATGGTCAGGGTGAGGGGAGGGAAGGGAGGGAGCGAGGAGGGGGAAATGGTCAGGGTGAGGGGAGGGAAGGGAGGGAGCGAGGAGGGGGAAATGGTCAGGGTGAGGGAGGGAGGGAGGGAGCGAGGAGGGGGTAGAGAGTCGAGAGTGGAGCTGAAGGCTGAAGGTC